TCCTTCCTACCAAGTTTGTGGATGTGATTAAGGTTGTTCATTGCGATTTTGAACGCCGTAGGCAGCACAAGACCACGGGCTTGTGCTTATTGGCCTGAGAAAAAACCCTTGCTTATTGAGTGTGGTATTTTTATTGAGTTATTTATATACATGTTTTTTATTCATTGTGTAGTTTGGTTGTGCAGGATTCAATAGCAGGTTGCCTTTGCTCAGCAAAGGTTCCCATGATGACAACAGCAACCGTTACAAGCAACAATACCAGACTGCAGTAATGTTAAAACCTCATAATCATGATAAAATCATTTTTGTTTCATATTTTTATACTTCATTGAACCATTTTTATAATTTCAGGGATCTGATGATTCCAACCCCGCCGAGTCGCTTTTACTGAGCGTTAGTCCCCATGCTGACACTGACCAAGACGAGCTGGGTAATGTAACAAGGGTAGTGGTAAAAACTCCATAACCTTAATTAAACCTTTTTTTTTTCTCATACATTCTTGCAACAACTTGAACTTATTTTCAGTTTCAGGGCTCTGCGAATTCCAATCCGAGTGTGTCTCCTTGTACCCATGCTGATACTGACTATGATGGGCTAGACAGTGCGGTAAGGATAATGGTCAAAGGCCATAACAATAACAAAACCAAACTTTTAAATTTGACATTATCTTGCAACACTTTTATAGTTCCAGTCGAACTTATTTGATCAGGGATCTGATGACTCCAACCTCAGTGACTCCCTTTTACCAAGCAGTAGTCCTCGCAGTGGCACCGACTATGACGAACCGGGCAATCTGGCAAGTGAAGTGGTAAAAAATCATGACACCATAAACTCCCTCTTTTCACTATTTCTTATGTGATAAGCAGTTTTATGATTTTAATTTGACTTATAAATAGTTATAAGGCTACAGTTCATAATGGCAGGGCCCTTCTGTTTCAAATCCCAGTGAATATCTAGCGATTAACATCGCGCAGGATGAACATAATGATTTTGGCCAGCCACATCACAGGACAAGGGTGATGCTCAAAACTCATATTAAACTATAGCATTTTGTTAATATCTCTTGTGAGGTTTATTTGGCACCCATTTTAATTTCGAACTGAAGTGATTATTAACTTCTATGTAGGTAACTGCCTTAGAGTTGACCTTAATGCTCGTTGGTTTCAACCTAGAAATGTTGTCAGCCGGTTTCGATCAGGTTTCCTCCGCAAGTAAGCCTCTTTATGCACTAATCAGTTTGCTGTTGGCCATTGCGGCTGTGCTTACTTGCATCCTGGAGCTCATTCACAATGGTATAAAGGACAAAGATGCATCTCCGAATAGACCTGTTTTTGGTATGTTGCCTGACATTTTTGGATTGGGACTTGCCGTGATTCAATGTGTTTGCTCGGCAGTGCAGTATTATTTCCTCCATCATCATGAGAATAATCCAATGAAACTGTCCCCTGTGCCTCTATTTTTCTTCGCCTGTTTGGTGGTTTTGAAATTAAAAGGGGACTAGAGCCACACTGTTTATATATTCAGGACGCTAAAGCTTATGACAGTAGGCAATATGTTCCATGAGTTTAGTATAAGTAAATAAATTAGACAATGTGTCGCATTCATTTTGCATATAGCAATTTTTGGTCACATCAGATAATTCAAATGACCTTTTTGTCAATTACATAATGATTTTGCAGATGAACATCTAATCACTCTATATGCGTTCACGTATCGCTTACGAATGCAAAATAGGAAACATGAGAAGTATATATGTACTTTGTGTCCCTGGATCCATGCATACTTGTGGAGATTTCACTTTATTGTGTTTGTGTTGTGTATGTTCTGATGAGTTTGTCTTCTTCTCTGTTAGGCTTTCTTGTGATTTGCTCTGTTTGGCTTTTAGTTGTGCCTGCCTAATGTAGAAAATGAGACTCCCATGCCATTAGGGTTGTTTGTATCCATTACATCTCTAAATTTGGTTAAATTACTAACTGTTGGTTATTCTTCATGTTGAATTGACTGGTCAAGAATTTAACTTAAGCTTAGCAAGTGCAATGCCATCCAAAAGACGAGTTTGCACGGCTCGATCTTCTACACACTGCATCCAAAAACGCATCCCCTTGATCTGGTTCGATCATCTCTTTCCCCTTTTTGGCTACTGGTCTTGGAGCCATCGCATACAATACAATTGCAAAATTGAAGGCTAATCAAACGATCCTGCATATTTTATTAGGCCAATAGTTCTAGAATCAGAAAGAATCATAATTATCCTTCAACTTTTAATTCAGTAGATGAAGAATCTATCTAATTTTTGCCTCCTACTCCAATATTCAGACTAAATAAAACAATAAAATCATCTAGTTCTAAATTAGTATAGTAAACAACGTATGATTCTCTCCCTATATTTCTAACAATTAGTAGATAATTGGTTAAATAAACATATCTCAAATTTCTTTCAAAATCAACGAGGAAACAGGAGGGCACAGGAAATTTGGTAACAGGAAAATTGGACTCGCCTATTATTCCTTACCCAGTCCAATTTTATCACCCAAGATAAAAAGAATAAATAAAAATAAAAACAAACAAAACAAACAAAAGAAGATTCTCTCCTCCTCTCACTGAGTCAGCCCGTGACTCTCCCCCTCCCCCACTTCACAAGCCCAACTCTCTTCATTCTCTTCTTTTCTTTTTCTTTCTCTTATTTTGCTTCTTATTTTAATTCTAAATCCTTTTTTTATTTTAATACCAAATAGTAGGAAACCCACAGAGAAAAGCCTCTACAAACATCAACTAAAACATCAACGAGTAAGCCATAGAGTAGTACGGTATTACCACATCAACTAGTGATATTTTCACTCATAATATGTCATATGTCATTTTAGAAAGGAAATAATTATTCTTTTTTATAGCTGGACTTTATTTATATCAACTGAAATAAAATTAGAAAAAAAAAATACCCTAGCAACCCAACGCCACATCTATGTCTTCTTTTTTTCTCTGCCTGCCATCAACAATCATTAGTCACAAGCGAGCCAAGTCCCCATAACCCAATAAATTGTTACAACCAGGAAACTTCATCATCATTGTCAATGAATAAAAAAATTATCTAATCTTAATATCAAATCATTGTCAAAATTGGAAAAGTCTAATCATTGTCAAAATTGGAAAAGTCTTTCCGAACAGCAGCATCTTTACGTTTAGGAGGGCGAGCAATGCCCAAGCTTCCTGGTTTTGGAGAATTGAAGCAAATAATAATGGTGGATATTTTTTCAGTGAAATTTAGCTAAATTTTACTATAATTTTGACTCTTATATTGGGTATTATAGTAAATCTCCTAAAAACAAAGTAGATTTTATTGAAATTTCAATAAAAAATTTGTGATTGAATCATGGTTCAGAGCATGTTCCTAGCATTACTCATTTTTTACTGGAAGGACTGTTGATCATAAAATGGGAATTTATGACGACATTTACGGCTGGATCGATGTGTATTTGGTGCCTTCGTTGATTAAGTTAGGTTCATGTTTCGAGGTTAATTATTTGTTTAAATAGAAATGGTTGATGTAATTTATGCTTGGCTTTTGTATTTCTAATGAATAATATGCATGGAAATATTGTCATCATCCTTGATTTTTTTTTCATTGGTCAAGTCACGAGAAATTATAAAGGAGTACAGTATTACCACGTCAACTTGTGATATTTTCACTCAAAATATGCCATGTGTCATTTTAGAAAGGAAATAATTATTCTTTTTATAGCTTGACTTTATTTATATCAACTGAAATAAAATTAGAAAAAAAGAATGCCCCAGCAACCCAACGCCACCCATATGTCTTCTTTTTTCTCTGCCTATCATCAACAATCATTAGTACAAGTAAGACAAATCCCCATAACCCAATGAATTGTTACAACCAGGAAATTTCATCATCATTGTCAATGAATAAAAAAATTATCTAATCTTAATATCTGATGGGCCTTATTAGATCCACAACCGAGAACCAAAAATAATACCCAACACAATCAACCTTTTCAATATCAATTTCCTATTGGTTAATTTGTAGCTTGTCTCTGATACACCCACCTCCCATTACAACCTTCTTCACATTTAATGGCAATCTATAATTTAGAAGTCAACAAACCAGTGAGAACTTCATCAATGAGAAAATATAGATGGATCTTGCGATAGCCACCAAAAGGGTTGAGAGGCAAACCTAGATATGATTTAGCAGTTAGAGAGAGACCAGGGAGTAGGTGACTGGGTTGGGGTGGGCGATTGCACGTCTCTTGTTTTTTCTGATTTTTATATTTTCTTAATTTTATTTTAAATGGTAAAAATTAGGTTCCAATTCCAGCGGTAAAATAAAGTGCGAGTTGTTTAAAGTTGTACCTGTCTGAAAGGGTACTTGGGTCTTTTCAAAGTATGAAAGCGTAACTTCAGAATGGGAGAAGAAAATTCAAAACTTGGTTCTGAAAAACAAAAAGTAGAGAGCTCAGCTCTCATTATCCAGAGTCGGTGACTTTTGACTCAGCTGAGAGACGTGCCCATAAAAGATGAGCTGAGGAAAAGTAAAGAATTAAGCTCACTACTCAGAGTCAGTTCTAAAGAAATGGTGACTGGAGATTGGAATCCAGTTTCTGGTTTCCAATCTGCTGGTGGAGTCAGTATTTGCATTGCATGCAGCTGGGAGCTCTCCTCCAGAAGCTTCCTTCCTTCCAGCATACATAGATAATATAGCTCTAGAAAAGTAAATGACCCTTGTTAGCTGATGAGCCAATCTACCAAGTTCTGCAGAATTTGTAGGCTCTTCCTTTCTTTTGTTGTGAACTGAATAGAAACTTCACATATTAACTTTCCTTTTTATTCTTTGCTTCCATTTGATGTGTGGTTGTGAGTTTTCTGGCCAATAAATAATACTACATGGTAATGAGTTACCACAATCCCTAAACACAGACCTTTAGTTTTAATACCATTAAAATGTAATTTAGTCAACCTGGTAACGACTTACTATAGAAAAAAGAAGAAGAAAAAAACCAATTACTCTCATGTCAATGTCATCCCCAGCTTGTAACTTGTTACACAGAGGATTGCAACCCAGGCATAGCATGTTTGGGAGGTCTGAGCAACGAGGAAGTTTCCTTCAAGTTTTTGGAGAATTAAAGAAGAAAAAAAAAAAGCATTATGGTGTCACCACAGCACCAATCTTCACCTTCTTATTCCGCGACTCTGTCTGTCCTCCGGGGAATTGGAACCATGTTGTGTCCTACTCCTCCTCAGCAGCAGCAACCTCAATCTCTGCAAGCCTTGGCACGCAGCCGGTCCTTGTGTCTTCGACAATCCCAGTCTCGCCGGACTTCACAACGCTGCCGCTCTTTAAACTACAATTCAGGTTTTTTTCTTTCACCTATAAATTTCAATTTAAAGGTCCTAATTAGGTTCTCATACATTAGACTAGCCGCTCAAAATTTAGCAAGAATTGAATTATTTTTCCCTTTTTGTTATTTAGAGGTAGGGATTACTGTTTGGAGTTTGATGTGTCCTGCCTTGAAAGTCTACTCTGCAGGCTATTTTCGGTGCAGAAGAATTACCTTAGCAAATTTGTATAATTGTTTGCAAAATTCGTCCGTGTATTTTCAGATTACAGGACTTACTCCTGTCCCCCAACCCTGTATATTGTAGGAAATGATGCAGATTACAGTCCGGATTTCTCAAAAGCCGAAATTGAAATTAAGATCAAAGGTGAGTTCCCTTGAAATCAAGATAAGCAAAAGTGTGTTTTTTTTCTCTCTCTCTCTCTCTCTTTTTATGGATTGTACACATGATTTCTATTCATTGTGTAGTATGGTTGTACAGGATTTAATAGTAAGAAGAACCTCAGCACGTTGCCTTTGCTTAGCAAAGGCTCCCATGATGACAACAGCAACCATTACAAGCAACAATACCAGACCACAGTAATGTTGAAACCTCATAATCATGATAAAATCATTTTTGTTTCATATTTTTATACTTCATTGAACCATTTTTATAATTTCAGGGATCTGATGATTCCAACCCCACCGAGTCGCTTTTAATGAGCGGTTGTCCCCATGCTGACACTGACCAAGACGAGCTGGGTAATGTAACAAGGGTATTGGTAAAGACTCATAACCTTAATTAAACCTTTTTTTTTCTCATACATTCTTGCAACAACATGAACTTATTTTCAGTTTCAGGGCTCTGTGGATTCCAACCTCACCCAGTCGCTTTTACCGAGCGGTTGTCCCCATGCTGACACTGACCAAGACGAGCTGGGTAATGTAACAAGGGTATTGGTAAAGACTCATAACCTTAATTAAACCTTTTTTTTTCTCATACATTCTTGCAACAACATGAACTTATTTTCAGTTTCAGGGCTCTGTGGATACCGATCCGAGTGTGTCTCCTTTACCTTGCAATAGTACCCATGCTGGTACTGACTATTATGGGCTACACAGTGCGGTAAGGATAATGGTCAAAGGCCATAACAATAACAACACCAAACTTTTAACTTTGACATTATCTTGCAACACTTTTATAGTTCCAGTTGAACTTATTTGATCAGGGATCTGATGACTCCAACCTTAGTGACTCGCTTTTACCGAGCAGTGGTCCTCGCAATGGCACCGACTATGACGAACCGGGCAATCTGGCAAGTGAAGTGGTAAAAACTCACGACCATAATCAACTCCCTCTTTTCACTATTTCTTGTGCGATAAGCAGTTTTATGATTTTAATTTGACTTATAAGTAGTTATAAGGCTACAGCTCATAATGGCAGGGCCCTTCTGTTTCAAATCCTATTGAGTATCTAGCGATTAACATCGCGCAGGATGAACATAATGATTTTGGCCAGCCACATCACAGGACAAGGGTGATGCTCAAAACTTATATTAAACTATAGCATTTTGTTAATATCTCCTGTGAGGTTTATTTGACACCCATTTTAATTTCGAACTGAAGTGATTATTAACTTCTATGTAGGTAACTGCCTTAGGGTTGATCTTTATGCTCGTTGGTTTGAGCCTAGAAATGTTGTCAGCCAGTTTCGATCAGGTTTCCTCCGCAAGTACGCCTCTCTATGCACTAATCAGTTTGCTGTTGGCCATTGCGGCTGTACTTACTTGCATCCTGGAGCTCATTCAAAATGGTATAAAGGACAAAGATGCGTCTCCGAATAGACCTGCTTTCGGTACGTTGCCTGACATTTTTGGATTGGGACTTGCCGTGATTCAATGTGTTTGCTCGGCAGTGCAGTATTATTTCCTCCATCATCGTGAGAATAATCCAATGAAACTGTCCCCTGTGCCTCTATTTTTCTTCGCCTGTTTGGTGGTTTTGAAATTAAAAGGGGACTAGAGCCACACTGTTTATATATTCAGGATGCTAAAGCTTATGACAGTAGGCAATATGTTTCATGAGTTTTGTATATGTAAATTAATTAGACAATGTGTCGCATTCATTTTGTATATAGCAATTTTTTGTCACATCAGATAACTCAAATGACCTTTTCAAGTCAGCCCCCAATCTATTATGTTTGATTTTGCAGATGAACATCTAACCACTCCATATGTGTTCACGTATCGCATACGTTTCACTTTATTGTGTTTGTGTATGTTCTAATGAGTTTGTCTTCTTCTCAGGCTTTCTTGTGATTTGTTCTGTTTGGCTTTTAGCTGCGCCTAAGGTGGGTTTCACTTTATTGTGTTTGTGTATGTTCTAATGAGTTTGTCTTCTTCTCAGGCTTTCTTGTGATTTGTTCTGTTTGGCTTTTAGCTGCGCCTAAGGTGGGGAAAAAAAAGAGATTTTCTATTTACACCCCACACTTCTCTTAGTTCACCCCAATACTTAAATCATTAAGCTGTAAGTTTTATTATTGTGTAAAAAGACAAAAAAGATCATCCAACTTAATATTTAACCCTAGTACATCTATACACACACCCCACTACTCTTCATATTAAGAACGATAAGGGCATAAATCTGTTTTATGTGAATATATATATATATATATATATATATGCATGGTTGCAATGCTTTATTAGAAATCGAGGGCTCTAAATATGGGTCTCTAATATTGGAGATGTTCTTGATACACAGTTCCTATGTATTTCTTAAATAATATTAACTGTTGCAGATTTTATTGTTCAAGAATCACATAGTTTGGCGATTTACTTGTCTATTCGTTTGAATAGTTTTCGTCCGAAATCTTTATTTTGTTTCCTGAATTATTTTTTCTTCAGATCATATACCATAAACATATCTTGTGAATTTCTTTGCAAAACTGATTATATATAATAAGGCCATACGCCAATTCCTCCAAAACTACTAATAAATTCACGTTTCATCGAAAAAGAAAGTACCCTATTCACAAATGTTGTAATCCATACATATATCATAAGACCTAGGACTTGAGTTCCAAAAGTTCAACTTGGCAAGTCTTTGAACCTCTTGGGAACTTCGAAAGTTCCTGCTGTAACCTCATCTCTTCTGCTACACCCAAATCATTGGTATAACAGATTGTCACCTTAGTCAAAACCTCGCCATGCTTCAGCAAATACTTTGCCACCTCCATCTCGTATAGCCTCCCGTGGAATCCCCGTATGCAAATAGTTTTGAGGCTGGACAAACAGGCACAGATTCTGGTGGACGCCATTCGTGTGCTACTAGATGACTCTCAGCATGTTTCCAACACCACAGTATGTTCTAGAGATTATTCAAAATTAATGAATTAGCATTAGAGCTTGCAGAATGTACTTCCTCCTCTAAGGGTAGCTTGTGAGGTTTAAATAGAAAATTTCTTTTATTTCTTATTTTTTTCAGTTTGAGGTGTATTTAAGGATAGTTTGGGAAGATAGTGGGGTTTTCTTAGGAATTATGAAAATTTAAATTTAAAGTTGGGGTGAACTTAGAACATGGGGTGAACTAAGAGAAGTGTGGGGTTTAAATAGAAAATCTCAAAAAAAATTGATGAACCGGCGGAACCAGCCAAACCGGAATGACTGGTTAGGGTGGTTTAGCTTGGTTATTTATCTCTCTATTATTATATGAGTCCAACTGAATTGGCTTGAATCGGTTGGGCTGCAGTTTCTGTTTCAGTTCCAATTTCATGGTTACAGATTAATAAATATTTTTGTCCAATTTCTGTTTAAAGTTAATAAATATTTTTTAAATCAATTAAAAAATTAGCAATACGAGACAAAATTTGAAAAACACGAACTAAATTTGCCAAAGAGGTAAAACATAGGACCAATTTCACATCGGGAGGGGATCTGCTGTCTCTCTTTTTAATGTCCCTTCATGTCCCTTGTATAATTTGTTGACATGTGGCCACTCACTTAACCCCAAAATTAACACTGTTAATTTTACTTTCAATAAAATAAAAATTTAAAGAAATTAAACCCAGTTCCCCACCCAAGTACCCAAGGCTGATCTTTGAATAGGAAAAAGAGTAGATTCGCAGGGTCCCAAATGAATTGGCTTATTTGAAAAAAGCATTGTTCTTTGGAAGATTTAATTCTTGAAAAAATGAGATCCATTATAAGGCCTATTGACTTACCGTCAGGCTCCTTAAACCTTGACCCACCTTCCTATCATAGGCTTACTTCCCTCTGAAAGTTCTTTCTTAAATCACGAAAAATAAAACAAAGAATAGTTAAAAAAAGAAACCAGAAAGAAATTTAAACTAATTATTTTTATTTATGATTTATATTTATTTTATAAAATAATTTTTATATATTAATTTTTATTATATATAAATATAAACTTAATAACCAAACCTCGCTGGTTCCAGCCCCCTCACCTAAGCCACACACAACCTCCACCCTACTGCCCACTTCTCTTCCACTACCACCTCCTCCTCTTCTTCCCGATCTCCCCTCAAATTTGGGTTTCTCAATTGAGAGTACTGGTATATGGTGATTTTGTGGCTAAGGGAGGAGGTCAGGGAAGGGGAGGAAGGGGAAGTGGCATGAAGGTCACGAGGGGTGGTTGCTGCTGCTATAGTGTTGGTTTTTGCTTTCGAAATTTTATTAAGTTAACGGTGTTAATTGAGGGTTAAGTGGGTGGACATGTGTCAAATAATTAAATAGGGGACACAATGGTACATGTAATTTGGTGACAGCAGATTCGCTCCCGTTAAGGCTCAGTGGGACCTGGGCATCAGGTTCTAACTTGTAATCATCCCACTCTACCGATAAAAAGAAGGGAAAAGAAAAAAGAAGACGACATCAAAATACGGAGGCCATAGCCAAAACCAGGCAGGCAACCACCACCTCATCGTCAAAGTATTGGCTCAACTACCGTTACCTTATTGACCAAAAAGGAAGAAACAGAGTGAGTTCTTTTTCTTATCTGTTTTCCTCTTCTCTTCCAAATTGTGTCATGTCTATTTGAATATGCTGCTCTTGGTACAAATACTATTACTGGATCTGGAAATTTCATTGCCACATTATTTATTTGTCATCTTCTTTCAATTTATGCTTTTGGGTGGTTTCAAATCCAGCTCTGGTTTTGTTTTATAGCTTTGGTATTGGGTTTCTGAGTCTGAAGGTTGGTTCCTTTGTGGAATTATTTGAGGATTTATTTCGATAATATGTTTTGTTTATGGGTGCACATAACTGGGTGGTTTTCTGGGTAGGCTTTTGACATATTAGGTTCATTTATTGGCACCTTAAAGAACTGATAAAGAGTATGGATTCTTTAAAGTTCATTTTTTTTCATTCATTTCAGATTCAATCCTAATACAAATTTGTAAAATTTCATTTCTGTACACTATATTTGTTCCTTTTCTTTTAATGTTTTCAATCATGTCCTGCCGCTATCAGTAATTGAATCTGGTTCTGGTTGGTACTTGGTTGTCTGCTGCTGAGTATGTGATGCTGGGTTTTGTTCGAGTCCTCAGCCTTCTTTTTCTTATAGTCTCATACTTGTGTAACTTTAGGATTCAGTCTTAAGGAAGTTTTTATGTGTAATTCTTTTCTTTTTCTGTAGCTGTTTACTTTTGATTGGACTCCTATCTTTTTTTTGTATCTTAATAACCTTTGTTCTCCTTTCCTTTGTAAGCACAAATGGTTCCTTCTTCACACAAACCACTTCAATGGAGTTCAATGCTTTTTGGGTCCTTATTTTTGTATTAAATATTCATGTGTTTCCTTATGTCAGCTCTTTGGCTTGTGCTTGTCTATTATAAAACCATCATCGTTTGAAATATTCAAATTGTTAAAATGTTTCAGGTATATAAATATTTAAAATATGGAAGGTATTGTAGTAAGAAGGGTTATTCCCTCAGACAATAGTTGCCTCTTCAATGCGGTTGGGTAAGCTCCATTACAACCTTCCATTCTATCCATTGTTTTTCGCAATGAACTGAACTGCGTCATTTGAGGTCAATTTTTCTATTCAATAGTCACCTTTCATTTTTAGGTATGTTATGGACCATGACAAGAAAAAAGCTCCTGAGTTGAGACAGGTATATGAACATTTAGGGATTAAAAGTACACAACAATCGATAAACCATGAGTTTTTGTGCATATATAGCTCCATGTTTGTATTAAGCATGCATAAGTGTGATACTTCCTGACCATTTTGTGGTCATCCATGATGTGAAGGTTATAGCAGCAACTGTAGCAAGTGATCCAACTAATTATTCTGAAGCATTTCTCGGTAAACCAAATGAAGAGTATTGTGCTTGGATTCTTGACTCTGAGAAGTGGGGAGGTCTGTTAAAAATAAATAAACTTTCCTTTTCCTATGTATATGAATATTGGTTACTAAACAAAATGCAAAATGAAAAGCTTTTCCTGTGAAAGTTTTGGTTATTTCTGATAGCCAACTAAGTTTCCAAACCTTAATTATACAATACTGGCTTATGTCTTCTTCTACAGTATTGAACATTATTGATATATTTGACAAAGTTTTTTTGCCTTGACGGTTCAAGAAATAGTTTGTGTAGCTACTTGTCTATAAGATTAACTTCAAATGATTTTCTTCTATTGTTGACTTCTCTGTCCCAATCCAGCACTGGGATACCATTAGATTTCGCTTGCTGAATGTTAATTTGAAATCTGTTGTTCAGGTGCCATAGAGCTTTCAATATTAGCAGATTATTATGGGCGTGAAATTGCAGCATATGATATTCAAACTACACGTTGTGATTTGTATGGTCAGGTTAGCATTAGTAGTGAGTTCTCATGTATATTAATCTTGTCAGCTTTCCATTTCTGAATGTTTATGCTCATTTTTGTATGGGGTACTGTTGACAGGAGAAGAAGTATTCCGAAAGGGCTCTGCTGATCTATGATGGGCTTCATTACGATGCTTTAGCTGTATGTGGTTCTGATGATTTATGTTAATCTTCTGTTTCTTAGTTTTACTGGTTATCAATGTGGACGGATAATTAAGAAATGGCTTCACTATGGCCTCAAGTAGGGCCAATTTTTGGACATATGCGCTTTCCTTATTTTACCAAAATGCCCTTAAATAAGTCCAAATTTTCAGCATCCAACCAAGTTCCCCTATGTTTTTTGAGTTTTTAACATGTAAGCACATAGGACTCAAATAGCCTGAGAGCCACACCTCTGTATCTCCCTAATGAATCTAATGTTAATCTCTTTCACAACAACACATACTGCTCAATGGCTATTGAATCTTCCCTTTTTCCCACGCTCTCTTTACCCATGTGCTGAGAGACTTTGCCTCATAGGTCTTGGCTCTTGCTCTTTTCGAGTTGTACTTTTTCCTGATTTCTAATTGATGTGAAATAATTTTTCAATATATGTTAAAACGAAGATTGTTACTGATTTTAAAGCTATTTTATTTGTAGACATTAGCTCTCCACTGTTTGTGATTGAGATTTAATTTTTCCAGTTAATGGTCATTGGTTTCTGCATTGTATTGTATCAGATGTCACCCTTTGAGGGAGCTCCAGAGGAGTTTGATCAGACTATATTTGCAGTTAGGGACAGTACCATTGGGCCAGTTGAGGGGCTCGCTCTTAATCTTGTGAAAGAGCAACAAAGGTAGTGCTTATGGTTTCATGGTGGCTTATATCCGTAGTGCACGCACAAATACTACTACACATAATATGTGAAAACATGAAATGTTCCTTAGGCTTTTAGTCTGGAATTAGCACGTTGAGATGATAAAAGATACAGAGCATGTGATTTAGGGGATTATTTCTGATACTTCCACTCTACACATGTAGTTCAGTGTGCAGAAGTTTTCTAGTTCACTTTACATCAACCAGCCTAGTTTACAAACCTATACAAGTTGAAGAGACAATAGTTTTTAACTTCTAGTACAGTCTTGGAAAAAAATTTCCTGATCTCTATGTACTGAGGGAATCCTAGTTGTTGAACCTGAATAGTACTACAGTGCATGCTTATTACTCTGTGCATGTAAAGTCTGGTTTATGAACATTTCAAAATAATAATCAATAAAATTGTTCTCGACTTAAGATGATTGAGAACTATAGGCCATGTCAGATGTGTTTAGCCTGTATGTAAAGTTTTTAATCCATGCCTATCCAATAGAAAAAAGGGGATAAAAAGATTAATTTTCTGTAAACATTTTTTCTGGTGTTTTGCTGACTAAGTTATCAAAATGCTTGAGTTCATGCGTGTTTCGTCGCTGTTAGTTCCATTTTGTGCGCCTACTACTCTTATAGCTCAGGCATACCATGATTATGCCTTAATACCATGATGCTGCTTCTCAGTAAAAGGAGATACACCGACACTGCCAACTTCACTTTGCGCTGTGGGGTGTGCCAACTTGGACTAGTTGGCCAGACGGTTATTTCTTGACTTACCTCTTTTGATTTTCTAAATGTTTGTGGTTGTGCGCATGAGATTTCCTTTATTCTTAGTATACTGAATAAATTTTGATGAATATTCAGGAGGCTGTGGAGCATGCACGAGCGACAGGGCATGTCAACTTTCAAGAATACAGATAACAGAAACATAGTCCCAATTTCATTGCAGTGTAACTCCTTTGTATTCACTTATTGTTTCAATGTCTGTCAAATAAGTATAACGTTGGACGTCGCGATTTATGTAGTCTGGGAAATGTTGTACTGTACCAACAAAAAGAACAAACATAGAAAATTACTGTTGTAGCAGGTTTTTACCATCATTTTATGGGTTGTATGTTCTGGTGAATCGATTGAATACCCTTTACCTTGTTTGTTATTGCCCTCAAACTTATTTGATTCTTATTCGTTCTCCCAAGAAATCCATTAGCTCGAACAAATTTATACCTCAACTTTGAGATTGTTCCTGTCAGCTGGTTGTTTGAAATCGACAAATTGGGAAACATTTTAAGACCAGCAATGGCTGAAGAGCTGAACTCACCAACCAGGCCAGCATCATTTACAGTGATTGATGTCAAACGGCCATTACTACAAGCTATCGTAGACCAAATCAGGGGGAATCCATCAGAGTCGAAGGACTTTGAATCCCCTGAATCCATCAGAGTCGAAGGACTTTGAATCCATCGGAGACGAACTTTCCTAGAAGGGTATGCATTACGCGTTGTCTGTATAACGTATATGGCCAAAATTTACCAGGAAAGGAATAATTTCCACCTCAGAGCCAGAAACAAATTCCAATTAGAGAAGAAACAGAAATAGAAACTTCAATAATATCATTCAACTTGGAAAAAATTTGTTAATTCAAATCACATCCTCAATTTCTTTATTCTTAGAAATTAAAGAATTTCTAATCAATCAATTATAAAGTGGAAACTGTAACCTATACATCATATCATATACAACAAATAACAGAGCCAAGGTGGCCAGTTTCTATACTTCAATAGTAGATCTCGCCTTCCTCCCACCAGATCTCTCCTTCCAATCTCCATTCAGAAAGGCCTCCTCGTCCTGACCTTGCAACTCATCATCTTCCCTGAGGAATACACCCAATTTCTTAAGCGGCAATCCGAGGCGGACTTGTAGAAAAGGATCTTCACTGCCACAGCCACACAGCATCTCAAGTTGTTTGAGATCCTGTAAAGGATCCTCAAATTGCACTGACTTCTTCATGTTGGAAATGCCACAGCGAGCCGACTCCCTTTGCTTCATCCGCTGCATCGATTTTCTCCTTGGTGGAGAATCAGGTACACCCTTAAGTATCTTGTTTGCTTTCAATATTGTACCTGAAAGTCGTAGCTCTAGTGCATGAATTCGGACTACCATACATTGGGAAAGATTCTCTGAGGCCTGATCCATGGCATTATCAACAAGGGTGGCCAACTCATCGTGTTTGGTTGAATCAACTGACTGAGAATCAGAAACACCAAGCCCTTGACTTTGAAGAACGCTAGAAGGAGAAGAGGTCTTGACCTATATCAGTTTGGGTAACACTGCCAAACACTTGACTTTGGGCAGAGGAGAAGGACAAACAGACTTGGGGTTTTTCTCCAGGCCTTCTTTCCACTTGCTCTCAAAAACACCACTGAGACGCTTGGCTGCTGCACGCTCAATCCTCCCAGGCGGATAATATCTTAAAGCATTTGACAAGGTAAGCCTCACATCAGCAGCAAACCCATCAGGGCTGGAGTAGACACCCCTCTACAATTTGGATTTCACAGTACCGAAATCCATCGGTCTCCAGATGTCATGGAAATAAACCAGATCGACCACAGGCTTCTCAAAATACCTACTCACATGGCGGAGGTTCATCATACACCCCAAAATTTCAGAACAATCAAACTCAAAACCTAGTTTTTGCCTCTTGATCTTCTGGGTCTGACAGAGACCATCAAAACCTAACTCCTCCGATTTTCTATGCTTTCTAGGAGACGAAGCCAAAGGGATGGTCTTTACCTGTTTGGGCGACAAACCTTTGCGCAGAGGAAGAGAAGTAGTCGGCTTTTTCTCCACGGCTAAATTCTGTTGGGTCTCAAAAATCCTAGAAACCCTCTTGATCTTCTGGGTCTGAAACGGAAACTCAAACGGAGCCACGCCATCCCCCAATTGTTTACGCTTTCGATTTCGAGTAGACAACGCCATTCTCGATTCTCGACTCCAAAACCCAAAATTCGCATAATTGTTGGACAGTGAGTGAGTGAAAGAACTCGCTCGCTACTTTTAAAACCCAGAAATCACAAATCGTTGCAGAGAAGAAGAGAGAGAACTCGCTCCTTCTTGAACCCAGAAAACCACTCGATCGTTGCAGACAAACAGAGCGACAACTCGTTGATTCGTAAACCACTCGACCCAAAACTCGCCTCGCTCGTTGCAGAGAACAGAGAGAATGGGGCAGAGAGAGAGTTTTGGAAACTAAGGAGTGCAGTGCAGTGTTCAGGATTTAGGGTTTGCAGAGAAACAGAGCGAGAGAAAGAGAGAGACGATAAAAGGAGGGGAATGGAAGCGTTCTAGCGCCAACGGTCTTCTTTTTTATGTTCAAAATGAAGGTCGGTGCTGTGACTTGGTTCAAAATACGCGTGATAAAGTATAAAAGCCACGTGTACAATAAGGAACACAATGTCCGAACTTTCAATTTGTTTTTTCCTTCTCAAGTCAACTTTGAGCTTGTGTCAATATCCCTCAAACATTCAGCGTTGTTACAATTTTCCGCTAGTTTCCATCATGCACAACGCACATGACTAATTTTTGGGGCCGTATACTTCAATTGATGTCTTAACCAAGCACTGACCCCAATTGATGTCTTAACCAAGCATTGACCCCAATATTCTCAACCTCAAACCCTCATTATTCTCAACCTCAAACCCTCATTCTCGATTCAACACGCAAGTCATGAAATTGGGTGAGAGACTCGGATCATACATGGTGAAGGTGAGTTAAAACAAGTTTGAACTAAAGGGGACAAAAAGAACCCTCAATTTGATGGATTAATGGACATAACTAACAGGAGGGGGATCCACACAAATTGAAAGTTCTAGGAGTTTTAGAACCAAATTGGAAGTTCAAAGAGCAAAGTGGAACACAACCTATAACTCAGGGGCATTGCTCAACTTTTTCAACCAACTTAGCTATACCCTAATGGCGAGCAGACAAAAGTATTTGTTTAGTACGTTAGTAGCGCTTTTAACCAGTATGGTTTGTCGGTCTTAGTTCCTATATTTCCCAAATCACATGGACCAGAGATTTTCCATTTCCTACAAGAAACTAAATCGAACATTTCTCATAACAAAATACATATTACAGATAGGGAAATGTTTTCGTTTGTCTCCCATTTTCCTCAAATGGTGTCCTCTAGACTAAAAATGATACAAATAATGACTTGATTTCTGGATCACTTGCAAAGACCCCCAAAACAAGCAGAACCAACAGCCCCTCATATGACACAAGATAACCTAGCCTGGTTGTTCATCCAGATTATCATGGAACTGTAAGCATAGCATAATTATGGGTGTAAATTGGGAAACAAGATGTGAGAGTCCATTATCATCTGCATTATTCAGACTCTTCATCCCCACCGCATGCAAGCAGTTTCAAGTAGCAGAAAGTTGGTACCTTGCACGGTGAGAAATGGAACTACTTATTTTTGTCCGGGTTTGTGAGTATTTTGGATGAGCAAGCTCTGCCTCACTACTTCTAGATCTTCTGCTTAAGCACATGACGCAATTGAACTTTTTGACTGTCCAACCTTGCCTCCAAAAGCTTTGCCTTCAAACTATGCTTCTGCGCCCCAAGAGGAATGCACCCTTTCATTCCTCGAACGTGATTCCCTGACTCGGGAGAACTCCACTGCCCCACTAAATCAGAGGGGCTAAGCCCACCTTTACCTGAACCCCGATCCGGAGATACGATACCCCCAGTAGATATCCTTCCATTCGAAAGCCTGCCATTTATTCCCTCTAAAGAGATTATCTTGTAGTTGTCCCCGTTATTTTGGCCGGATCGCCAAAGCCTTGCTATTGATGATACCTTCTTAATCTGCTTTGTTGGTACCGAGCAAACCTCACTGATTTCAGTGATTGGTGTTTCCTCACCTTCATTGTCTTCCCATTCTGTTCCACTCTCTGAGACATTACTCTCTCGGCGATTCTTATTGACAGATGGGGCACTCCCGTCTGGTGAGTAGCTTGAGCCCTGATCCTCAAGATGGCTCACAGTTTCCCATCCACTCTCATCTTCTTCAATATCACCATTATGACCAACATATGCAATTGGATGTCTTTGGATCCGGTCCTTGTTGATTCCATTAACTTCGGGACTCACAGTACGAATTTTGGAAGCATGGCTAGCAGGACTGTAGGCAACACATTGCTCAATCTCCCTCTCATTAGGCTCACCAAAATTAACCTCTTCAAACACGGAAAAGATATCATCAGGATTGGGGGGTTCATAAGAAACATCCTTGACGTCTTGAATATTCACGGTAGCAGCAGCCTGTCGAAGAAACTCTGCTTCTCTCATTTCCTTCACATCTGGGGTTGCACTTCTTGTCCTCAGAAAATTCTCTAGATCTACCACAAGCTTGTTCATCAGAGAATACTTCTCCTCAACTGCCACCTTAGCATCAACCAGCTTCATTTGAACACGTTCTTCACGCCAGACCTCAGCCATCTGTAACATCTTCCTTTCCTCTTCCACTTCCTCTCTGAGTTTCATGGATTCTCTCTTCAATGCTTCAACTTCAGCCTTGTCTTCTCCAATTTCCTTAGCAAGCTCATCACATACTTCCTCAATTAATTCTCTCGCCTTTCTTTCTTTTTCGTAGTCCTGTATGTATCGCTTTGCTGATAACTTGGCATCAGCAAGCTCATTAACCAATTTGGAATTGAGAATTTCAGTTCTCTGACGATTTTTCCTTTCCCGATTCAGTTCAGCCTTGATGTCATCAATAAATGCACGGACTTTCTCATGCTCTCTGCTCCTCCATGAAACCCTTTCCTCACTGACGTTCCTTAAGAAGTGTTCGAGTTTCTTTTTTGAGGAACGCCGATCCATCTCAAGCTCCTGAATTCGAGCTCGAGCCTGCTCTAACTCAGCTTCAAGTACAGATACCACTGATGCAGCACTTGCTTGTTGATCAAGAAGCTTCATTTGGCTGTAAATTTGTCGCACCTCATCTGATGTTTTCAAGCAGACCGGATCCCATTTTGTTTGCCCCTCCATGGCAGAATTGGATAACTGAAATTAACGTTTGAGCTAAAAATTAGAAGCAAAAAAAAAAAAAAAAAACAGACCTTAAATTGCTCGAGGGGGAAAACAGATCTCAAATAAGAGATGTTGAGAAACCAATGGAAAAGAGGAAAAAAGTTAAACAGATTAAACTGCTTGTTCTAGAATTTTAAATAAATATATATGAGTTACTCTCTAATAAGATAGTTAAAAAGGACATGCTTCCCAGCCGGCTGAGGTGCACCTGAATGCATTTCAGTCGTCCATATTTGATCTAATGGTTGAGAAAAAAGACATTAATAGAAAATAAATCACATATAACATTAAATTTTCATATTTCTCCCTTTTCTCTACAGTTGGAAAGTCCACCAAGCCTTTGTTATGCTTCTCCCTCTCACAAAATTCCATATTTTCCCCCTTGTTTTCCATCAGACAATGTTGCTAATTAAAGACCTTACGTCTTTTGATTCAATTAAAAGAATATGGTATACATCTATTTACACCAAATTTCTTATACAAGTAAATCTTTTCTTCTTTATTTTCCATCCAAATATGAGCATTAATGTGTATTTGCTTCTATGTTTAAATACATATTCCCACATGGGAAATCCTAAGAGTAACACTGCTTCTATATTTTCCATAACATTCTATTCATGTGGAAAACAAGAAAGATGATTGGATTACCATCTTTAACTTTATTTTATTCCCGAAGGAGATGGTTCTTAATAAGTATATAGCATCAATCCCAGGAAAGTAAGTCATCTAGAGCAGGTTCCGCCAGGAAGCTTGACTTAAATGGAGCTAAGCATGTGTGACACGTGTACAAGACAATAAAGGGATCATATTGTACTGAAGTTCACAACGTATGATGCTCATTCAGAATTTACAGATCATTGACAATTCATTGTAAGTGATCAAGGAAGAATCATACCTTGGACAAGAATCCATTCCTTGAGGTAGAACTAGGGCTTTGTAAAAAATCATTTGCTTCAGAAGCATATGCTTTGCTGTTGCGATTACGGAGAAACGGTACGCCGATATGGCCGACGTCAGGCTGCATAGAAGAGAACAACATTGAAACTCAAAATCCACAGTATACAACAGCATAAATACCGGCAAGTTGAGATTAAGGCATATTATGACATAGATGTGCTAAAACAGCACGCAAGGACTATCTCAGAACATATCAAAGAAAAGTGTAACGACCCGGAATTTTCATAATGCATCAAAGAAATGCATAAATGTCCTACCACTGTATCACCATATCTCACAGTTCCATGTTAATACATTCAGATTAACTTGAAGCAACGTCGCGAATCTTATTTAAGAAAGCAGGTCTGAAAATATCTCAAAACCAATTAATTACCAAGTAAGAGATACTCAGCAGGACATTGATGGAAACTTACGAGCATTACCACCTCAACACAGATTTCATCCTAAACACTTAAGAACACAATCATCATCATGTTAAAAATATCAAAGAGAACCATTTCATTCTAAAGCTTTAAAGAACACAATCTCTGTAAGATCAATCAACCCAGAGACGGCTTTTTCTTTCTTTGTAAGATCAATCAAATCTTGAGTAACAATGCTTGGTTTCTTAAACCCCAAATTAAAAATAAAAACCAAGATATATATATATATCATGAACAAAAAGAAAAAAACAACAGTACCACAAATATCAGCACCAATAGTCTTTATCCAACTTAAAATTGCAAATTAAACAACACCAAATGCATTAACCATATTTTTTTTTTTCAAAAGTAAAATACATAAATAAATAAACTTTTTGACAAAAAAAAAAAGGTCAAACTCCAATGAAATGAGATTTCATCAAGGTTTCAAAGAAGACCCATTTTACCAAAAACTTTCAGATCTTTGATGACTGGAAAGAAGATAACTTCCGAGACCAAACTCAC